TCCCCCCCCCCCCCCAACAGAGGATGGCCTCTCTCCAACGGGAGGTTTGGATATCTTCTGGAGGGACCACATTTAGAATTATATTATCAACCACATAACAAGGCCAGATAATTTTTATACACCCAAGTGATATACTGTAAAGCCAGCCACTGAAGTCTCAATGGGTTGACCAAAGAAATGGCAAGGGACACAATGACAACAACAACAACAATTTATTTGTACCCCAAAGAAAATAACTATTACACTATTACAATTCACTTAGTATAAATATCAGATATAGGTACTGGCTACCCGTAATAACCGTAAACGGCTAGATGTTGGGCAGCCAGATCATTACAGTAAAAGATGCACAATTTATTTTTTTGGATAGATTTGTATAATATAAACACATTAAGTCGAAATACGGAGACAGAGGACACACAGACAAAGAAAACAACCGCTGCACATCATTTAGGAGATTTTGTTAATCATTACATAGAAAATCAACAATCTACGAAAATTGATCAAATTAGCCATAATTTATCAATAATCATTGATAAAATTAGCTTTTAAGTTCTTTTTTAATGAGGAAAGAGATAGAGCTTTTTTTGTTTCATCAAGAGAGTTCCATACTTTTGCTCCTTGATATCTTATGTTGAAAATTCCATAATTTGTTCTTGTTTTGGGAATAGAGTAGGATGATTTGGATGCAAGTCTAGTATTGTAATTATGCATCTGGTTGACTGGAGTAAAGAGATTATTAAATGAACAATATGACAGTTCACAAAATATAATAAATATGAACTTTGTTCAGTTTGCTACAACATACAAAATTGTTAACAATGAACTGACAAAATTGCCAGAGAATTTTATACCACGAATATTTCCAACATATTCTCCTAATCCCAAAGGTCCAAATTTTGCCCTGTATTGTAAATATCAACTTTTGAGGTATAAACCGTGGAGAATAAACCCAAAATAATGCATGGGGTGACCAAGAACCAACTGACGAGGTTCTGCTCAATTGTTGGCATGAATTTTTACAAACACCTTATGGGCAGTCTAATGTTCCAGACTGGTTTGATAAATTACAAGCTGTCATTCAAACTCAAGAATCAGTAGATGAACCTTCTGAAGAACAGGAGACAACTCGAGAAGAGTGGATGATATTATCAGACCTAAACACTCTTTTTGACAACTCTGAACAAACACCAGAGTCCACATATGACTGGCATCTTGACAGAGCCAATTATTCTCAACAACAAATCCAAGAAATGCCAACATGGATAAAAACAAACAAAGAGGAATACACTATTGAAGAGCAATATGATGTTGTTGACATCAACAGTTTTATTGAAATGCAAAAACTTGCTTATGATATTGTTAAGTCTCATTTTGATGATATATCATCTGAGAAAGATGTCTCATTATAAATGGTGTTGCAGGAACTGGTAAAAGTTACCTTATTAATGCTATTAGAAATTTTGCAAAGTCAATGTGCTGTTGCATGCTGCTACCACAGGTAAAGCAGCTTATAACATTAGAGGTGTAACTGTGCATTCTCTATTAAAGTTACCTATAGGATCAAGAGGTAAAAAAGACCTAACAGGACAAAGCTTGTGTAGGTTACAAGAGAGTGTTAATAACATTGGATACATCATTATTGATGAATACTCCATGCTTGGCCAAGTTACTTTTGGTTGGATAGACAAGAGTTGCAAACAAGCAACTGGTTATAATGACAAAGTTTTTGGAGGAAAATCATTGATTTTAACTGGTGATCCAGGTCAATTGCCACCAGTAGCAGATAAACCTCTTTACCATGCTAGACCAACAAACGCTGTTGGTGAACAAGGTCATCAAGCATATCATATGTTTGTGTTAAACTCACTGTAAATCAATATGTGCAAGGTATGACATCTGAGCAAGTACAGTTCAGAGATTTGTTATTACGACTTCGCAAAGTCAACTCAACAGTTGATGACTGGAAGTTACTTCTGACACGTCAACCATTGAATGTTACTAATTTATGTGACTTTGAAGATTCTACTAGACTCTTTTATAGTAATGAACAAGTTGCTAATTACAACCATGAGCAGCTAACAAAACTTGAGCATCCAGTTGCTCATATTAATGCTCGCCATTCATCAGCATTTGCAAAAAAGATATCCTCAGATGATATGTCTGGGTTAGAACCTGTTGTGTTTCTAGCAAAAGGTGCTAGGGTCATGTTAACCATGAATTTGTCGAACTTAACTAATATCAATTATAAATATGAATTTGGTCTCTGCAATGGTGCTACTGGGACAGTTGTTGATATTATCTATCAGAACAACCATGAACCATCAACCACCTGGCTTACCTGTTGCAGTAATAGTAGAATTTGAAAACTATAGAGGACCTGTTTTTAATGAAAACCAACCATTGTGTATCCCAATATATCCAATCACTGTCACATCACAGACAGAAATAGGTTTCCATGAGACAACAGTTACCTCTTAGGCTTGCTTGGGCTATAACAATACACAAGAGCCAAGGACTTATGCTAGCTTCCAAAAGCATGGATAGATATTGGCATATCTGAAAGAACTGCCCGAGCCCGAAGGGCGAGGGACGTTTTCAAGACCGAGGGCACAGTTTTTCTCATCCGGACCTCGCAGCCGGTAAATAACATATATGTATTTTGTTTGTTAATTAAACCCCTCCCCTGCTTTTCTTTTCATTCATTTATGTGCTACCATGTTTCTAAGTAAATATCTCATGCTGGCAATTATTTGTTCTATAGTTTTGCAATTCTGACGGATGTTAATGGTGCCATGTTAACTGCTGGATGAAACCAAATGGTTGTTAAAGTCAAAATATAATATGGATATACTACATCACATGAAAATCGATGGGAGCTTCTGGATTAACAGAAATGTATTTCCATTAAAACAAGAATGCTGATTTACAAGTTTGTATGGATATATTACATCTAATGCAATGGGATGGAATCTGAATTTCGCTGTACGTGTTTCCAATCTACCATATGGATGTCAGGAACATTGTATGTCAAGATATTACATACCTTTATATGTACAGTAACCTAACAAGTTATTGGACAATAATGATGGCCAACAATGGATACTACCTGTACATGCTAAATAAATACGAAATATTTATATGTTGGACAAAAAACGAATAGTGTAAGACTTGTTTACCAAATGGAAAATAAAGTATGGACTATCATTACCTTGGAAAGAAAGAATATCAAAACTTGCAACAAACTGGTCATATCAGGTTAAAAGACATATCATGTATATTCCTAATTGTGTTCTTCTAGACGTTTTGACAATTAGTGAAGATGGTTAAAATATTGGTACCAACAATCACAAGCATATACACAGGACGAAATTCGATTTTTAATTAGCTTTAACCTAAAGTGTAAATATATTGAAAGGGCGCTTTACACCATTTACAACGGGTGTTAAATCCAAGTAAAGATGGAAGAAGATTTATTTAGAATTACTGATGTTTAATTGACCCTTTACCACAAAATCTAAAGACATAACTTTTATAGAACTTTACACTGAGGAATTAAATCTTGTTAAAGAGCATGGCAATAACAATTGCATTTATTCAAAAGTGTAAATGTTTGAAAAGGTCCCTTTTTCCTTTTCATTACATAGTTAAACGTCTATAAAGAATAGATCACTTTGCTAAATATTTATAAAACATTTAACAGGCAAATTAAAGGTAAAATAATGATATAGTCTCTTTATCCAGCTTTACACTCATAAATTAAATATCTTTAGAGGTCATAAGACGAAATCTGAACTACAATCGTATTTATTCAAAAGTGTGAATGTTTGAAAAGGACACTTAATATCTTTGCATGACATGGTTAAACGTCGATAAAGAACAGATAAAACCTTTAGCAAGCAACTTAAAGATAAAATAATGATTTTTCCCTCTTTACCCAGCTTTACACCATGCAATAATTTTTAACATTTGCACTGCAGCACTGCTGCGTAAGGCAGGACTTGCAGGTCCGCCGGCAGCTTCAACTTGAAACCTCTAAATGCAGGCTGTTGCCTTGACGATGAAATGGACAATGAACAAAGCTTCCAATGTTTTCTGTGTTTGTCTTTCTGTCATTCTGTGTAGCTCGTCAGAGAAAAAGCTTTCAAACATTGTTTCGAACAACACGTTGACATTTATACTGCATTATTTTCGTTGTTCTGAAGATTTATTATCGATATGGATGCGAGACCTACTCAAGATTATTTGTTTTGCACCCATTGTCAAGAATATGTGTCCGAATCTATGTTTAGGCAACACATGAATCTAGTCAATATGGCTGGTCAAAGTTCAGCGTTTTCTCAAAGCTCTTATTGTCCGTCTGGAAGGAACTCATCAGAATCAGATAGCAGCTCTGAGTCCGAGGGAGAACGCATGGGTAGGTTTATTAAATTTCGGGATGTTTGGACTGTAGAATGAACGATAATTTGTTATTCACAAATCAGTCAATCACACTATAGTATTAGTATATAACTATAGTATTAAATTAGTATAAACTAGAGTACTAGACACTAGCCTAATTTCTGTATTATTTATCTGTCAATTTGATGTAGCATCCGGAGGCATTTCTGAGGAAAATACATGCTCTGGAAACGACAAAGAATCTTCCTGCAGTGACAACGAGGCACTGTGTAATGTAATACTTAGTGATTAGTGGTGCTATTTTACAATTGATATTGCACATAACTTTTGCCAAAATATTTGAAACTATTAAGTTGGCAACGAGTTTGCCAAATTCGAAACTTAGTTTGGAATATTTTGGCAAAAGTTATGTGCAATCAACAGTAATAGTATTTAATAGTATTTACTAAATACCAGCATAAAGGTTCAAATGGTTAGACGAGGCGACATGTTGCAGGGACTGGTTGCAGGGACTGGTTGCAGTGCCTTGTCGCATGAGAAAGGCCACACAGAGTGACAACTAGTTGCAGAGACCTATGGCTGTAATAAACACACAGAGCGACAAGTCTATGCGACAAGTTCTGTTATTGTTCTGAAATGTTCTGTAATTTGTCAATTTTAAATCTAGTCCCAGCGACTTGTGGCAAGCTGGTGAACATGAGAACATGGCATAACACATTCAAGGACTCAAAGTCTATGAAATCAAATCAATTTGGACAAAAATTAGTCCCTATGACAAGATTTTCACACAGGCCACACATGCCGACTTGTCGCTTGGTGTAACCAAACCTTAACCTTAACTTACTTGTCAGTGGTAGAGTACTTTAGTATTTTAACGCCAGACGATTTTACTCATTAGTGGTAGAGTACTGCCAGTAAATGGGTTAACAAACCAATCTACTGGTCAGTGCCAATGTGCCCTACTTTAGTATTTACTCTGTCTAATGCCAGACGATTTTACTCATCAGTGGTAGAGTATTGCCAGTATTTGGGTTAAATTATTGGATGGTATTAAGTTTATTATTTTGTGCATATGTCATCTACACCATCCCCAGAAGGGGGAAATTGGATGACGGATGATTCCCCTGTTACAGTATAGTTTAACTGCACTCCTGCTATAGTATTTAAGGTTTTGCTGTTCAGGATGACAACACAGTAAAATTGTGATAGTGGAGTGGAATTGAGGTAAAGTTTCTGGTACCGCACAGCTCGGGGAATATAAATAGGTGATAATTATGGTACCATGAATTATCAGGTTGTATTGTGCAAATTTTTAATCAGTGAATCTGATGTATTAGAGTCATTCCATGACACATCAATGCAATAACACAATTATATATAGCAGATGAGAATTATAATTAAATGTTTTAAGTACCAGTACATTAATAGTCTGTTATCATATTCTATCAGATTGACTCTCACAGAGTAGCATAAAGATCTTCCCTGTGCAGTTTTTTTTACCAACTTAATTGTTAGGTAAACAATTTGCTTAAATAGCTTATTATATTTACAACATAAATATGATTCACTGAAATTGTGTTTGCTCGAATTGCCTGATTACAGTACATGTATTAAAATGCACATAACTGATAATAATTTAACAAAATTATAAAACATTTTCCATGTTTTTTTTTTTCTGTGTTGATGTAGTGTACTCAGGTGAA